CCGGCCTTGGGGTGTAGGGGGCTCGGTTATGGGGTGGGGTAGGGTAGGGGGCATGGACAGACACATGTGTTCTGCTGCCAAGAACCCTGAAGCAAACAATGCCCGAGACAAAGGGAGTTGCAATATAGATTCTAAGCGTCCACCAAGCGGGGGAACAGGTTGGTTTCGGTTGGGCCGGAGACAAACAAACGAGGGACAAACAACTGGGCTCTTTGGATACAGCAAAGAAGAAACAAGCCATCCTGTTGGGGGGTCCGAAACAGGGTGAAACCGGCAGTGTTGAGCAGCGTTCCTGACCTGCTACTAAAGATCTTGCATTCTACCTCGCCAGGGAAAACTGCTTGAAATGGGCGAAGGCTTTCTCGTGAAAGGAAAGGGACTCCCTTTGCCAGTGCCCCAGAAAAGGGAACGCTAGGCTTCATTGGTAACAAAATGTAGCTAAATGGTCTACAGCAAGACGAACCCAGATTTATTTCCTTCCCCTCCCAACAATGCCAATTAACAAATACACCTCATTTAACATAGTTCAATGAAGCACTCCTTTGCCCTGACCACCAACCGTGGTCTGAACTAGTAAGCTTGAAACCCCCAGTTTGTTCAAGCTCAACTACCTCCTTCTGCAGCGGATCGACGCTATCCAAGAAGGAAAAGCCTGGGACAAGTCCTCACACCTTCGCTAAGGGGTTGATGAGAGCATCACCACCCCGATGGCCCCATATTTTTTCCACCAGCGCAGTGGAGGGGCATCTGTTGCGGGGTACATTGTTACATGTCTCGAGGTGGTTTTAAAGGGCTGGGTTAAAATGTTCACCAAACATGATAATGTGGAGTCAACCCCGCACGAGATTCTCTGAAAAGCCCAGGGCAAACGCAAAAAGTAAGGATTTTGACAAACATGTACGAGCACCACAGTGGCAGCTTCCCTTTGCTGCCAACATGAGACATACCCGGAATAGGAGGGTAGGAGAACTGCTGTCAATAACATAGCCTGCTGTCTGCTGCCGTGATTGTTGGACAGCGGAAAGGAGACAAAGCCGAGACCTACAGAAATAACATGAACAATGAACAACAACATGAACAATTGTGTATGATGTTATCCTTCTCTTTAGGACAAGGATTCCATTCCTTGCACATAGGGCATCTCAGGCTCAGCAATTTGCCGTCGGAGGATGGAAGGGATGAAGGCCGTCAGTCGCCAGCTGCTGTGAGATTGGGCGCTCTTGATGCTGTTGAATCAAAAAGGGAAACCAATAGAAACTAACCGTTCAAGAGCCAAACTCATACTGCTAAACCTGACGACCTCGGGAATCCCCAGGCTCGCGCCACGATTTTATTTGACCCACCACTAGTATCGAAGCTACAAACGCTCATTGTGGAAAACACACAAATCCGCCGACATTTGTTCGGCGTGTCGGATACGTACTGGAGGATACCCCCCGGGACAAGCATGGATGCTTCCCTGTCACAGAGGCACATGTCATGCGGAGGTGGCTCCAGCACAGTTTTTGGCTGGCGCTCATTCTGCTTGGGCCCATGCAAACCGAATGCTGGATCAGTTGAAGTTCTTCATCCGCAGGGTCGGAAGTCTGGTCTATACGCAGGTTGCCACAGCTGACTGCATAAGCCATGGTTCCTTTTTTGGCTAGCCGAGGCACCCCCCCCCCCCGCCCGACGTCTAAAACGAAGGTTTTAGGGGGGGGCGGGGGGCCACGTACCGCGCGGCAATTTGATGATGTTCCACTAAACGTAGTCTTCGGGGAGTGTCGCAAAACAGGGGTCCCAGGCTCGATTCCCGCTGTCGGCTCTTTTGCTGGCTTGGGCTTCCTGCCTCCTTTTGCCGAAAATCTGGAAAAACTGTGTTTTTTTGGACGTCCTCTTTGCGAAAACGCCGGAAAAGCCGTGTCTTTTTGCGGGAAATACTGGGGAGCAAAGGGGAATGCAAGGAAGTGCAAGGAAATGAGGGGAGGAAATAGGAAGTCGACATGACAGGAAAGCAACGGGAAATGAAAGGGAAAGAAAGGGGAACTGAAAGGGACATGAAAGGGACATAAATGAAAACAAGGGAGTGCAGGGGGAATGAAAGGGAAACAAAGCACAAGGAAACCAATCGGCACGACAAGAGATGTAGGGAAATGACTCGCAACGAAAGAACGGGACATACATGGAAAATGAAGCGGACATACCGAGAAAATGTCAGGGACATGAAGGGGGAGTTGAAAGCAATGGAAGGGACATGACCAGGACATCATGGGAAACGTGAAAAGGACATGAAGGGGGAATCAAGGGGAAAGCCAGTAGTGACATGACAGTTCAGGGTCATGAAGGGGCAGTGCCCGGACATCGAGGCAACTCAGGGGGGACGTGACGCTGCAATGCAGAGAGAGAGAGAGAGAGAGCGGGAGAGAGCGGGAGAGAGAGAGAGACACAGAGAGCGAGAAAGAGAGAGAGAGAGAGAGAGAGACAGAGACAGGGCCAGAGTGAGACCAAGAGACAGAGACAGACAGAGAGAGAGAGAGAGAAAGAGAGAGAGAGACAGAGAAAGAGAGGCGCAGAAAGACAGAGAGAGAGAGAGAGAGACAAAGAGAAGAGAGAGAGAGAGAGAGAGAGACTAGGTCCTCCAGTAGAGGAGATAGAATTAGGGTACCCTTTTTCTGTAGAGGGGCGTGGACAGGAAGGAGATAGGGAGACAGAAAGAGACAGAGAAACAGAGAGAGAGAGAGAGAGAGACAGAGAGAGAGATGGCCGTGGCTCAAAAAACCGGTACCAAAATGGAACCTTGGTAAGTGGAAAAACAGGCCAACACCTGCGTAACCCCTCCTGTTTAATTTTGAGCCACACCCAGATAGAGAGAGACAGAGAGAGGGAGATTGAGGAGCGAGAGGCTTGGGGGGATGGGCAGAGGGAGGGAGAGAGGACGACAGAACACACGAGGGAGACAAGGGAGAGAGGAAAAAGGAGAAAAGGGAGAGGACAATGTCGGCGGACTGAGCCGGAGGCTCTAGAGTTTGGACACATCTTGAAGCGCTGAAGTGTGAACAAGGTACCAGAAAGCGCTCCAGACACAAGCCGCCGCAGAACAAAGCAGCCAACGGCTCGCGCAGCTCACGCCCGCACGCGCTACACCAGACTCGCACGCCATTGCTTCAAAATCGCAACGGAAGCGGCACGAATTAAAAAGTCGCTCAAAAATGTAGGATGCCAAAAATGTGTGCCACGGCGTTTTGAACATATTGAACATGGCTCTCCGAGGGCAAACTCAGTTCTGGGGCATTCGAGTTAGAGCAAGTTGTTCCTGATGAAACAAAGACTTGCTGGTTCTCAGCAGGGAATGAGGGAATGACCGCTATAAACCATCCCCTATGGTTTCCTTAGAGGGAATCCCTAGGTTCGTTCCCGACACCCTGGGTCTGTCTGTGGCAATTGGAACTAATTACAATTCATGTCCACCTGCTCGTTTGGCCGTGAACTCTCTACCTCGGAGCCAAGGCAGTACAATCCAATGGGAGCACAAAGAGGTATCATTTGTTGATAGCAACAAGAGTATGTCTCAAAATAGGGGGCCCCAGGAATCTTTGCGTTCCATCTGATTTCCCTTTAAAACCCACCTTTTAAAAATGGGTACCCACAAAAAACACACACACCTCACGTGGAGGTTTCTCATCAAGTGGACCACCTGTGCCCATGTCAATTGGGCGAAGTACCGTGTAACTGTCCTCGGTGTGCACCGTCCAGGTTCAATGTTTGGCACCCGCGCCATAAAATGTTGACCCCGGATTAATAAACCCCTGGTTGATTAATAGGGGGGTGTCCCCTTTTAGTGGGATTCATCCTTTTGGAGGGAACACCCCCCTAATCATGAGACGGGTTTTTAATCTGGGTCAACATTACCAAAGTGGGATTCCCACCCCCTATGACTTTGTCACTTTGATGCATCACAGAAAAAAGTGGCCCTAAAACCCGGACTTGTCATGGGCATGCGCCGACTTCTGGCCAAGAACCTTCCCAACTTCTCAGCCGAGAAAAATGAACAGAAACGAGTAAACAAGGGACAAAACCCAGTGGCAAAAGAAGTGAAACCCTTTTTGGAGTCATGACCATCTTCAGTGGGGAGCGCAACAAACCATAAGGGATTTCCAGCCTCAAATCACGCCTATTGAACTGGCTTGAGTTATAAGAAAGTGGGCCGAGCCCCATGTCAGATTTCCACTTTTGGGATTGCCCCAAGGTGGACTTAAAATCATGGGTTCTCCGTTTGGGGAACGGGAACCCCTGGGTTTAAGTCTACCTTTTAATCCAAAAGTGGAACAACCCCTGCCCCATCGTACTTATGGATGGACGAAACCCAGGTGGTGCAAATTGGATTTCGCAATCATCCACAGCATTTGCCCCATGGAAAAAAATAGATTAAAACAAAAACCCAGACCCACAAAAAACACAAACAAACACACACAAAAAAAACATTTGTTTGGCAGGGATAGAATCCCTTGAAAACCAACCAGGCAGAATGAGCCATGTTTTTGCTTGAGCCAATGGGCGCAAAAGTGGACCGACCTGCCCCATCTAGGTCCTCCAGAGAGGTTAGAATAAGTTGGTACCAACGTGTTTCTTTTTTGTCGATTCTAGTAGAACAACCCTCCCAACCAAAAGTTGGGTGAGAGGTCGGTCACCTAGCTGGGGGACCTAGTTCATATAGGTACGATGGGGCCTTACACAAGGAGCTTAAGGCAAAGCGATCCCTTCTTGTCCTTTCTCAGCTTACAGCTTTGAGATTTCTTTACCAACTCAGGGAAGATCGTATTTCCATGAAGTCTTGCCACTCTTCGATGGCCTCTGCGGCGTTGAGAAGCGCCACGTCTTTCTGACGCTTCTCCTGCCACCAGCGCTTCCACGGCTGGTCCTGCACTGCCCTTCGGGGCTCCCCACATTCAGCGTCAGTCTGGTTGGTGGGTTGGAGCCCGGTTTGTGGTTGGTGGATAGGTGGTTTGGATAGGAGGTGGTTTGGATAGGAGGTGGTTTCAAATTTACCCTTCACAAGAACCCAGGGAGTCAAGCCCAAATGCAAACCATCAATGCAAACCACCAATTGGGGGATACCTGATAGATTTTCCCAAGAACCAACATCCTTTGGGAACCTTATATGGGGCAAACAGATGTACCAAGAAGCTAGGGGTTGAATTCATTCTAACAATCTCTGTCCACCAATGGATCTCAAGCAGATGTACCAAGCAACCACGGATGGAATATTAACAATCCTTATGCACTCGGTTGATCTGATCCGGCCCGTTGTTGCACCCTTCGGTTGGATCCAAAACCATCTCGGTCTTCAGTTTCCTCCCGCGGGGAGTCTGGTGCATGTCACCGGCTACGTGCTCAGTGTCCATCATGAATTTTGTGCCGTGTCACAGGGCTCCCGTCACAAAAAAAGGAAAAAATGAGAGGAAAAACAAAAAACACCCCATGACAACTCAGCTGAAATCAGCTTGGAGCAGCTCGAACGGGGCCAACGAAACTGATGTTTAAACAATTTGCTTCGGTGGTAAATGGCTGTGGCTCAAAATTTCACGATCGGAGGGGCAAACCGCAGGTTTTGGTCCATGCTTCCACTTACCAGGGCAACCCATTTTGGAATTCCGGCTTTTTGAATTCGCCACAGCCAAATATCAAAACAACGACTTTACAACTCTCAAGAAGCTTCCCTGCATATCTGGACCTAAAATCCCTAGTCCCCACATGCCAGCTGGTGGTTTAGGTCACCAAACTTCGCGACCAACCCCAGCAAGGGATCATAGAGTGATGTCCAAACTCGGAGCGCTCAGAACCCCCAAATTTGCTTGTAGCCTTGGGCATTTCAGCGGGTTCTGACCCTGAAAGTCGAACACCTCAACTTACAAAACGGCGCGCCCAAAAGGCTCCGAGCGAAGAAGAGGAAGCCCGTCCTTCAGCTTCTTGGGATCTACAGGCTGGCCGAAGTCCGCGTGGCTGGTGACGTACCTGCCGACTTCGGTGATGCGCGTTGGGCCGGGCTATCTCGAAGTTCTATCTATCGAGCTAGCTAGCTATCTGGACCTGGGTCAACACCAATGGGATCCCATTTTGGGCTAGGTGCACCACCCATTTTAGTCTATTTTAGTGGGGATTGGGATGTTCACAGGGGGTATCTGACCAAATCAAATCTAGGCCCCAGCGAGGAGAGAGAGTGAGCCTATCATTCTCCACGAGGTTTTTAGGGTCGTCAGCAGGGGGTGGTTGCGCAGGCTATCGAGTGGCTTCCAAGAAGATCAACAAGTGAGTCATAATCAAAACCTGGTATTAAAATAGTCTACCCCGAACCATGTAATTAATTACAAAGGCGGCAGCACCAATTTATGGTTGGGATTGTCCCTTGCAACCCTCCGATTACCCGGGCTTTGAGGACGTGACTCAAGTGAGGGGTCAGATCGCCTGAAAGGAAGGATGCTGTAAAGGCCCATGCTTGTCCTCTTGAGGCATGATAACCTAGGTCCTCCAGAGAGCTTAGAATAAGGGTACCTTTTTTCTGTATTCTATTTTAGTAGGGGAACCCTCCCAACCAAAAAAGGGTGAGAAAGGGCACCTAGCTGGGGGACCTAGCTCAGCATCTAAGGCGAACTGATCCTTACTTGCCAGGAGGGCACGGGAACAAAAAGGACACCCTGCGTTTAGGAAACACGAAAGGAAGATAACACAGCGCCCCTGGGCAACCAGAGGGACAAGGACTCAGGATGAGAACTGCGACTGCGCTTGCGTACAGGTCTGGTTCAGGTTCTCGAGTGCCACTGAATGAGTCAAATGTGTTGAACAATTCGCAACTTGTAGATGCAGGGCTGTGGGAAATGGAATCCACTTCTGTGATACAACAAAAAGGGCCTCCCAAAGACCAACTCCCCATATAAAGAGGGGATTCCCTTGTATCACAGACTTTTTTGCGGTTTGGATGTTTCCTTCACAGTAGTCAAAGGACAAGGTCGCAACTTGTAGATGTGCTCCTTTTCGTGCATTTCAAAGGCAGATGGACGCTGAGAAAAGAGGGTGTATTTCTGTTTGGGTGACATCACCTACCTGCGCCGAAGACGTGGGAAACAAATCGGCACATGTGACGGCACATCGTGCAAGTACGACAAACAAAAAAAAACTTCGACACACACAGACAAACACACACACACAAACAAACAAATAAGCAAACATACAGAATGACAGACAGACAGACAGACAGACAGACAGACAGACGGACGGACGGACGGACGGACAAACAGACAAACAGACAAACAGACAAACAGACGAACAGACAAACATACAGGCAGGCAGGCAGACAGACAGACACACAGACAAACAAGCAAACACAACAAACAAGCAAACAAACACAACAAACAAACAAACAAACAAACAAACGACTGAACGAACAAACGAACGAACGATCAAACACACAAACAAACAAAGAAAGAAGGAAGGAACTAAAGAAAGAAAGAAAGAAAGAAAGAAAGAAAGAAAGAAAGAAAGAAAGAAAGCAAGAAACAAACAGACAAACAAACAAGCAAACAAACAAACAAACAAAGAAACAAACAAACAAACACAGAAACAAACAAGGACACAAACAAACAAGCAAACAAACAAACAAACAAACAAACAAACAAGCAAACAAGCAAACAAACAAACACAAATACAGACACACACGCACACACACACACACTCAGAAAAAGAAAAAAGAAGAAGAAAAAAAACAGACACACACACACACACACATTTACTCACACACACACACACAATGCTTGCTTCCATCAACTTTACCAACACGCTGGCCGCGTCGTCCCACGCGCCTCTCTTCACCGGTATCCAAATTCTTCACCAGCCAGCCTGACACGGCTGAAAGCCCCGGCGTTCCGAAGCAAAAACGTCCGAAACCGCGTGACCAAACTTTGGAGATGCTTCGAGACCCGCGAAGGTGGGGGATTCAAACCCGCCCAATCTGGACGCATGCTGACCCCATAATCAACCCCTTGCCACGGACATTCGCCAGGTCTGGCCACTAGCTCGGACAAAATTATGAACGCAGCTTTGTAGGGCTGCGCTGCTTGAGTTGATCGAAGCATTACCTTGAGCCTTCAAAATCAAGGCAATCTTACAGCCACAGCGTTCACTGCTTGCATTAAACACGACACCCACTTCA